AAAAAACACCCCAAAACCCAACCAACCCCAACCCCAACCCGTGCTCCACTGGAAGGCGCCTCCAAACCCTGGGGAACCCAACGCTCCCCAGCCCCCCACCTCACACTCACCTGTTTTGGGGGGGTTCCTCTTCACCCTCATCCACTCGAAGGTCTGCGCTGCCCCGGCCCTGACGCCCACCTCGGGGTGCCCGGGGGGCTCGGGCTCCTCCAGCAAGGCCGCCGAGAGCTCGCCGTAGAGGCCGGGCAGGTAGGCGGGCTGCTCGAGGCCGAAGGCGGGCGGCTGCTGGAGCTGCCCCGCGGGCCCGCAGAAACCCTCGGGCAGCGAGCCCGAGCCGAAGGCGGCCGCGGGCAGGTACGGCCCATCCGCGTCCTGCTGGCCCGCGTAGAGCTGCTGGTAGCCCGGCTGAGCTGGGTAACCCGGGCTGGCGAAGCGGGAGGAAGAGGAAGAGGAGGGAGGGTGGAAGCCGTGCTGGGGGAGATGCCCGAGGGCGGGCGCGGTGCCGGGCAGGCCGAAGTGGCCGTCGGCGCTCGGAGTGGGGCTACCTGAGCACGGCGGGAAGGAAGGCGAGGCCGGCTCGGGGTGGTGCTGCGGGAAGGCGGCGGTGCCGCGGTTACAAATTGCGAACTCCAAGAAGGAGTTCATGGCGGTATTGTCCATCTGCCAGTGATGGAGGAGGGTCAGCGCGTTTTGGGGGCGATGCCGCCTGCCCTACAACCTTTGGGTAGTATGTCAAAGCTGGGAAACTTCCTGCCGGGCATGGGGGGACCCCGAGGAGCCGCGGCCGAGCCGGGGGGGACCCCGCGGGCGGAGCGGGCCCAGCCCAATGAGCGCGGGGCTCCCGAAGTTTGTGGCCGGCTCCGGGCTCATCCATCACGGCCGTGACATTTGCATGACAAAGGGGCTTCAATCAAACCCGGCCCATCAATCTGATAACAACACGGACGCGTCAAAATCTTCTCCTCAAAGACTTTAAAAGAGAGAGGGGCGAGGCGGGGTGCGGGGAGGTGCTGGGGACGCGGGGGGGAAGGATTGCAGTGACCCGCGAGTGTTTTTTAAGTGCTAAAAAGGGCCCCGAGTTATGCGAGGAGCCGGGTTCAGGCACAAGTTCTGACTTTAAAAGGTTTTTCCCCCCGGTGCCGGCTCGGTGTGAGGAAAAGAAAAGAGGGCGAGGGGATGGGGAGGTGTGAGCGCGGGCACAAAAGGATGCTCTTTTATTCTTTCGGGAACTTTTCCCCTCCGAGCTCCTCGCACCAAAGCGCCTCGGACTTTTCCGGGATGCTGAAAAATCCGCTCCGTCCTCGCTTTAATTTCCCCCGCCCGGGCTTTGTGCGCGCGGTAAAAGCGCCCTAATTAGATCGGCATTCTAATGAGGAGGCCAAATGAAGTTAGCGAGGGCAGAGCGGCTTTTGTTGGAGCCGTGCCAGGCCCGGCCTGGCAATTCCGGGATGGGAACTGAGCCCGAGCCCTGCGTCCACCTGGGGACCTTCCCGTCCATCCACGCACCGCGCTCTCCCCGCTAAAACCGGGTTTAGGGGCTC